CTCCAAAGTGAAGGAATATCGCAAAGCGAATACGAATCCCATTCAACGATAATATCGTATATAGAAGCAATCAGACAACAAAATATTTTAAATAAATCACACGCTACCCGACCAGAAATACAACTTGCAGAAGTAAAAAATAGACCAACTATAGAAAATCCGAGATACTACAGAAATACAGACGAAGAATATATAGAAGTATCCTCGGAAGAATACAAATTTCAGGAAGTATTCTATCGCAATATTACGCAGGAAGAATACTACCAAAACTATAGAGATAAAATACACTTTGTGGAAAAACCGACAAAAGAACAAAGCACCCAATACGACCCTAATGACTTCCACGAGTCAAAATTTAACTACTACAATACCTTCAGAACAAGAAGAGGAAAACTTATCATCTACCTTCCTACAAGAACTAATTGAAATAGAAAACAGATCCATAATTATATACGGAAAAATACCAAGACCATATAATCCGATTTACAATAAAAAAGTACTTGATAGAGTGACAAACCCTCCAGATACTGAAATAGTACAAAATATTCGACATAGACATAATCAACTACAACAAATAATCAAGACTATAAAATTAATTGAAATACCTTTACTAGAAGAAGAAGGATTAACACTCCAAAACGCATATACGAATAATAAATACTTAAATATTCTGAAACTTCAAAAAGAATTATCAGAATTGGAAATAATACAAGAAGGACCTGATCAATACCTGTACAATAGAAGATACTTATCAGACAATATTGATAAAAAAATAGAAGCTGAAGTACGAGAAGAAGCATTCTATTACAAAGCCAAACTAAATACATACCAGCGAACTGGAAACATAACACCAACATATGACATAGACTGGCCACCGCATACTTATTAAATGAAAACTACCAAGAATTTACAAAATAAATATTCAATTGAAAATCTGGAATACTACTCAGAACTATATTCCTTACGATCATCTGAAACAAAAATACTACATAATAATCACCTAATAGGAAATAGCTTAATATTCGAACCAAAAGTATTATACGACGAATATCACTGGATAAAAATAAAAGAAGAAATATTAAGAACGCACAAACTGGAAAAACACCAATACAGATCGATATATCACACCAAGAAAACAAGATTATTACAACAAGTAGAAGAAGTAATACAATACTATAAAACTCAGAGAAACGTTTACGCTCAACAATTCCAAAAAGAACATAATACTTATTTGACAATAGACAATATAGAAGAATCTATTGAAGCATTTAACCTTACAAGAAAAATTATTAATATAAAAAATAAGCAAAAGGTTACATTCGACAATATTTATACTGAGCAAGAAAATAAAGACCGTGCTCATATACGATATCTGAAAGAAATATTACTTGAAGAACTAAAAAATATATTTAACGAACAAATATCTGAAACAACAAAAAGATACGGAACTAGAATAGATGCAATATATTATAACGTACTAATACAAGAAACACAATATCTATCTTGGAACCACGGATTGAAAGCACATAATCATTACGATATAAACTCGGAAGAAAATCATAGACTTTATACATTCCAATTATTAGAAGGGATACCACCATTTCACGACCTCTAAAAAATGGAAAAACAAAATATAATCCAACCTGGAAGAACTATCAAATTTGCACAAATAGCAATATTTGACTGGAATGTTCAAGGAATACCGATAATATATTTATCCCAAAGGATAAACCCTAGCAAAGAATATTACTCCTGGTATAACCTACCCGGAGGAAAACAAAATAATCCTAACGAAAAATTTGAAGAAATAATAATACGAGAAACCCTTGAAGAAACTGGAATAATACTTTACCAAGAAAAACTACTAGAAGTAGGCTATAATTGTTACCCACCTGGACACCCACAAGGATGGGGCGACAGAGTAACTACGGAAATAAAGACATATATACATCCTTCATTTAACCAAATTGCAATGAGAATGGAATTAGAAACCCATTCTGATTGGAATTATTTTACCAAAGCAGAAATAATTAATAACATAATACCAACACCAGAACTACAAGTACAACTCAATAGTATATTTTATTCAATAGAAAACTACGACATGCTGATGCGATTAAAGCATGATAAAGAAAAAGAACTAGATTCTGAAGACGAATCCCAATTTGAAGAATTAAACTTACCAAAATTTACATATACAGAAGCGGAAACTTTAATACATAGACAATATGAAGCAATAACCCCTCAAGATATTCACCAATTAAAAAATTATAAAAAAGAACTCGAAAAAGAAATTTCTAAACTAAAAAATATCAAACATAGAGTAGAACAAAAAATTAGGAATTATTCAAAAAGAAGATACGCTATAATATTCGATAAACTACAACAACCTTCAATAGCCGCAGCATTAGGACCAATACCAACATTAACACAACTATTTAATACGCCTCTAGCGTATGACAGAATAAAATTTCAAACATTCAGATTTAGAATAGTACAAGACGAAAATCCTACTAACCAAATATTCGGCGTAATCAAAATACGATCATTAACAAACTCGAAATATATTTGCCAAGCAACAATAGAAGACTTAATCACAATGTACCCAAATTATGTACTAATGTAACTAAATAATTTGAAAATCAATTTTACCAAATTTAATAAAAACCCGGTAATACAAATCCGACCACATCAAACTATGTTTTAGCCGTACATGAGTATAGATATATATTCATATACGTACTTACTTACGAATGTAATTCTTTGAAACTAAACCCACATTGTCACATTTGACGCACCTTAATTAACTGGACATAAATTCTTTAATAGTATTCGAGCATGCACTTGACTACTTGAGAAGAACAAAAAAAAAATTGTTATAAAGACGCTTTATTATCTAAATGTTTGCTTAATCAGATTTGTGACCTACATCGTACGATCTTTTTAGGTATATACCCATATCATGTATATATGCTATAAATACATTTCACTAAAATTTTAATTTATATTACATATACTTATTTATATTAGTTTATCACTCATTATTTGTACAATATAAATAGAGTGTACCCTCCTTTATTAAATTTTTGCATAATCGAAGTGGCCCTAATTCTATCTTTTTCAAAAAAAAAAAGAAATTACATTGAAATTACATTGAAATTATATTGAAATTATATTGAAATTATATTGTCATTATATCGAAATTATATCGAAATTATAACGAAATTATAACAAATTATAACGAAATTATTATCGAAATTATTATTGATATCAAATATATTTGATACCGTTTTCTCTTGTCTGTTAGTTTATCCATGAAAAAATTCATGCGTTTCATTTCACCAAACTCTACTTCTCCAGCCAGTGACTCTGATAAAAAAGGTCAAAAACATGGCATGTTTCGTCGTGCAAATTCTGGTTCTGCTTTAATAGAATCAAAACAAAAGAAAAAATCTTGGAGATCTCATCATTCTTTAAATCCTTCAACAAAGAATGATTCAAGAGGCGCTGGCGCTTTATACTTGGATACGGATGTTGATAACGATAATAGCGATCCACAATTTACTCGTTCACCAGCTGAAGGTTTTCTAAATGTTCCTGGATTAGATAAATCTTCTTCACTACCCCACGAAACTATTTCAAAAGATATTCCTCCACAATCTCCGACTACTCGTTACAATGAAGCTGATGAATTCATTCAGAAAGCTATACAGTATCATGAAGCTAATGAATTAGAAAAGGCTACTTATTATTTTAAATTGGCCGCTGAAAAAGATAGTCCTTTGGGCTTATTTCTATATGGTATTGCTCTAAGACATGGCTGGGTATGTTTAATTATTTTTATCTTATTTTATCTTATTTTATCTTATTTTATCTTATTTTATCTTATTTTATCTTATCTTATTTTATCTTATTTTATCTTGTTTATTTTTGTTCTCTTTTTTATTAATCTTTTTTATTTTTACAAAATAGGGCTGTAATCCAAATCCAAAACTTGCTGTACGGTACTTACAAAAAGCCGCTGAATCTGCTGTTACTGATCTTCATGCTTCAATGGCTGCAAATCCAAGTTTCGCCCGCCATGAATTAGTATTAGCAATTTATGAGCTTGGTAATTAAAAACATTAATCATCTTTTTATTTTCATATATATATTTTTTTAAAAAAAAACTAATGTTTTTATTTCTTTTTTTTTTTTTTATTATTATTTAGGTATATGTTTCCGTCATGGCTGGGGTGTACCAAAAAATAAAAAAACTGCTGCATATTATTTTGAAATAGCAGCAAATCTTGGTGACCCTGATGCACAAAATGAACTAGGATTTTGTTTTGAACGTGGAGAAGGTGTCAAAAGGGTATGTTTATTTATTCATTATAACCTTAATACTTTAAAATATACTTATAAATAATTAATCATATATTAATTCTTACTTATGTTATAGGATTTGAAAAAATCTGCTAAATATTTTCGAATGGCGGCTTCACAAGGTGCTGGGATATTGGGAAATTCGTGGATATATAAGAAAAAATATGACGAAGACGAAAATTAATCATAACCTAATTAAATAAGCTAAAAACAATAATACTAAAAAAATATATATATATACACATATATACATATCACTTTTTTAATTCCTTTATTGGAGCACATGAGAAATTCAACATTATAAATTCAACATATTTAAAGATTTACTGTAAATAGTTTATATAGTATTATTCACTTTCTCTTAATTTTTGTACTGTACCATTATTTGTAGTATAAAATGGGGATTGGAAAATATTAATAATGTTTTGTAATATTTATTCTATCATTACTGATATCATTCATTATAATTATAATTCATCTTATATACAAGAACAATAAAATAAAAAAACAATTATATAATATGCAATCTTTTAAAATCTATAATATTTGAAAATGTAATTGGAAAAAAACTGTATAATTGATATTTCCAGGTTATGACATGACATTCTCTATAAAATTAATTCAAATCTTTTTGATGAATTACTATTAGACATAAAACACGCGTAATTTTGTATGATTTGCTACGTACGTACATATTAACGTCTTTTTTATTAATATAAAATCTCAAAAACTATTGATAAACTAAATATTTTTTTAAAATACATAACGATGGGCGATAAGCGAGATCGTCACTTTAAAGTTTAGGCGCGTATATCTTATTAATAAGCAAACCATTCAGCGAAACGTTCAGGAATTATTAAGGATAAAAACGGTTTTAAATAAGTATAATAATTCAAGCAATAATGATTATGTACATTAAAAAAAATCAATTATTATGGTTAAAAAAAATTAAAGAATTACATACTAGAAAAAGTCAAATACATTATCATTGCATATCTAAAGCCCAGAAAAAATTATTAAAAAATTATTATAATAAGAAACTTCTAATAATAAGTGACACATATATGAAACAGTTTATATTAAAATCTTTGATTTTGTTTATATCGGTATTTTTTTCAATTTCTAAACCTTTCTATAATTGGATTTTATTCATATATATAATTTTATACTTATTTGTTGTATTTGTTACATAACTTTCTATTTAATTCCATATCGATATCGATACGTATTAAAAATTTTTTTTTACGTACGTACGTATCTAAGAAAATCTGAAATTTTTGAAACAAAAATTTTATCATGCATTGCATTAACGTTAGCTCCCCTAAGTTTTTAGGAATATTGAATGTAGATCCGGTGTACCTTGAAGAAGCGATATTAACAAAAACAAATTTCCTCGCGAAATTTTTGGTATAGATTGTGTAATATCTTTGACCCTAATTCTATCCCTAGTGTTAAAATCCTTATTGTTCAAAAGATAAACAAATAAATCAGTGTTTATTTTGACACGTTTTCCTATCATTTGCTGCAATTGGATCTCACCTATATATTTTTGTTTAAATAAATAATTTTGTAAAACTACCTCTTTTGGTTATGAGAACTCCAGTTATCTTTAAACTATTTGGAATAGTTAGTTATCTTAGTAATAACCTTCTACGTAAGGGTATTGTTATGGTTAAATACTTCTTAAATTCTTAAATAAGAAAGGGTTAAGAATTTGTTTTGGTGATCAAGTCCTATCACTATATAATGTTGTTTTTAGCATGATCAGACGCAACTATTATCTGAATGATAGGGTTCTCTGAGTACAGAAAAATATTTGGCCTATTTGGTTATGCTCCTCTTATTCTGCTCCCATAGATAGGTCAGGTGTTGTTACATTTTTATTTTTCGAATGATGTACAAATAAAATAACTAAGAAAAGGCTGATTTCGTAATCACCTCTCTATACCCAATATACCAAACTGGTTCAAAATATTTTGCCTACGTGCGTACGTAATCAGAATGTGTTCATAAATAATGGTTTCTCGTGTATTGAAAATTTGGAAATTCGGTATATCAAATTAACCAATAATATTTTATGCACGTGATTATGATCGACATTTCTATTTTTAGGGACGGAATTACCCGATTTTTTTAAAAGTTAATGTTAGGGTTAGACTTAGCGTTAGGATTATTAGTGATTGTACTCGGTCAAATACTGTCACAACCAGGGAGAGCAAATATACGTCCGGGCCAATTTAGCTCAGTGTTGTAAGCATAAAAGAGAGGGAACCAGGTCTTTATTATATTTGTACGAAATAAGAAAATAAGCAGAACCTACAACTAAGTAACCAACGTTCTCTATCCTTCAAAGACAAGAAGTACTCCCAGAGTACTATTCACAAATCCAACCAACTAAGTATCTCAGTTAGTAACCAGAACTAAAGAACTAACTAATACTAACTAATCAATCAAGAGAACAAACTATCTCTCTTCCCTCTTATACCTAATTTCCTTAGCGACCATTGTTCAAGCGATTACTAATTATTGCATAATTACTACATAGTCGCATTTCCCCGCATAACTTATGACTACATTTCCCTGCATAACATATGACCACATATTCCAAGCGCCTTACCCATTACTACATTATTACAAATTTTTGCGTCACAATACCCGGTTAACCAGCGGATGAACCTATAAGTTATCCAGATATACCCAGATATAATATTTGCATATTCCGAAGACAAATCAATCTAAAAATTTTTATACACAGTAAATCTTATGTTTAACTTTAGATAAAGCTTTTATTTTATTTTAAAGCAATCAATTCCTTATCTTCCTTAAGTGCAAATTGTTAAAGTTTGGTTTCTAGAAAGTGCATTAGAAAGATCTGACTGTATATCGATATTGAACACCTTAATACCGTATGCCACTGCTTACGGTAAAGTATCCTTCAAAATAATACCCCATGATTAAGATCCGGGTATTACGTATTCACCATCTTACTAGCTTGTTTCTTGAAAAAGATCCAGGGATATACTTTTAATATTATATGATAACATAGTGCTTGGCAAAATCAAGTAAAAACTTGATAATCAAGTACTTGATTAAGTTGAACATCTAATAGTAACACAAATCGGATTGTAAATCTTTTACGTAGTAAATCTAACGAATTGCTACCGCTACGTAGTAATTTTTGCATAACATACGTTGTATATACATATGTTATCAGGTTATGCAGCAAATTTAAGATCTGATTTGCACTATCATTAGCTATTCAACTTAATTAAGTACGTACAGTACTTGACTATCACTGCTCAACTTAATCAAGTACTTGATGATCAAGTTTTTACTTTATTTTGTCGAGCACTACATAGTATCCACGGGTATTCTTCAATTTTAAAATAGAGTTCTTGAGATTATAGCAGATCAGTGTGGTATGGGTAAGCATATCAGTATGTTATGGGTAAGCAGATCAGTATAGTACGAAATCAAACACCTATACCATACTGATTCATAATCCTAACGCTAATATATATAACACCGGATAAAGACCCTGGGTAAGCAGTGATATACGGTATATGCAAGGCATTTTAAAAGTTATTAAATAGGTCTTTTTTTTTTAAAGCTACCTTGCCATAAGAATTATTATAATCATCATTTTGATTTCTATATAAAGGTCATTCTAGAATAAAGATAAAAATCATTTCTAAAAAAAAAAAAAAAATGTTTAGTGATTTTTAAAATACCCAATGTAATCAAAATCATATTATTTATTAGTAGCAAATGCTTTTGATTTTTTAGAGTCAAATTTAGATAAATGTGAAGATCATTAATCAATGAGTTTGATAATACTTACCGTCACGTCAATGGAGTATACAATATTATAATAAGCTACGTATATATTATTTAATTTTATTCGCATCAATATGGTGAGTAAGTATAAAAGTGGTTAATTCATGAACATAATCTTTTATGCACACTGACTAATTGACGCGAAGATAAAATGAAATAACGTATTATGTACGTACAAGAAATTAAATATTCACAAACTTGAATGGTTTTAATATTCGCCCATTGTAAATCGACATTGGTTCACTAATTAAAAAATTTCGGAACCGAAATTTTACATATAACGAGTAACAATCTATTGTTATAGCCTCTAATGTTAACGCACTAACCCTAAACTTCTATCTTTACGCATTTAGTTTATTTACAAAATTCGATTTCCTTTTTTGGTTTGTGTTACTCGCACAAATAAGTAAAATCGTAAACCACCACCTAACCAATCTTCGTATTTGTAGTATACGTGAAGCTATCAAAAGCGTCTGCACGAATTTTATTCATACAAATATAACAGATAATATGGTATAAATCATTTATTTATACACCTGGCATCTATTATATTTATGATGAAACTGCAAAAGTTTATGATTTGTCGAGCCTTAAATATTTTCTTACTGCGATATAGTGAAAAAAAAACGATCCTCTATTGTCTGGATAATTGATCTTCGTTCTATTCCGGTGCAATCAGAATTACACCTTATCAAAAGAGTACTATGGGATAGTGCAACCGAAGAAATAAATTTAGAAGAGATTCCTGAAAACTATACTGAATTTATGCGATGTATCATGGAAAATCTCGACGTGATTAACTAATGATCCATAATAGTGCACGCTATGGTGTAATCAAAATTTTCTCAAACATTATTCCCGAAGTAAACATAACAATGCTCATTTATTATAATCAATCAAAATAAACATTGCAATTAAATACTTGAACGATTCATTAATATTTCTCTTATTTATCAAATGTCGTCGTTATTAGGTTTAGGTCTTTGTTAAGATTTAATTGTTGTACGAAATGAAAAATTTATCGCCAAAATGGAAAGTTAACTTCTATAAAGTTAATAATGATAAAACATATCCATATAAAAACTAAAAATATTTGCTGCCAAAAAGAGTATAGTAAGTATTCGTAATTGTTTTTTGGGATTTCTAATATATCTATTTTTATTTTTTTATAAATGTATAATAATTCGTTGATGATGCGAATTAGGTCTATAACAAAGCTACTTGAGTAATCTTTTTGAATACTCAATTAATAGTAATATTGTATTAGGCCAGGTATTAAAAAAAGATGGTTGTATTAAAAAGTTTGTAAATTGAAATGATATACTTACTTAACATTTTTTACTAATAAAATTTATTCATCAACACTCTTGACCCATTGATAAAGGTGTATGAAAACACCTCAAATACTGGAACTCAATGATCCTTCTCTTAAAAAAGAAATTAAAAGAAATGAATTCAAATTTATTATTACATTTAATATGTAATAAATGACATTATTTGTGAGAGTACATGGAACCATCAAATAGTTGAAAGACTAACAAATCAATGGTAAAGTTCGTTCTTTTACAGTATGTGTATATTATATTAGGATTTTTAAACCTTTTTTTCTTTTTCAAAAAAAGTTATTGTTCACCATATATAAATACCGGAAACGCGACGTTTATACAAGCGAGCACATCTTAATTTTATTTATTATTCGACATTGAAGGTTAGAATTAACATTTTTTAATTTACTAAAAAAAAAAAAGAGATTTGTAATAATAATCTTCCCCAGATACCAAATTATTGATAAAATTTAGTGATGAATTTTTTTTTTTTTTTGAAGAAACTTCCTATGATCCAAATAACCTCAATAATTATATAGAAGAAAACCGAAGCAGAAAAACAAACCACGAGGACCATAATAGTTCGAGTTTTACATTCAACTACTGAAAAAAATGAAGAAAATTTTAATAACGAGAAATTGATTAATAAAGGTAATTTTTTTACCATCCTTGATACTGTAAATATTTTGTTATTTTCAATCTATATATATACATTATTAGATTACAAGTTAGCCCTTTCAATTATGGATTACGATTTTTATGCAGAAAAATATCAGATAATAATAATAAAAACGCGGATACATCAAAAGAAGGAAATAATAATCAAGAAATACAATATTGAATGGACGCCGAAACGTGGAAGTATTGATCGAAACAGGACCAATCTTGCTATGATAAACGAAAAAAACCTGTTATTCTACGATCAATTATTCAATGTTGAGTATATAAACTTTATAGCGATAGGAATCTAAATACACTAATATTAAAGGTCTAACGTTACAATCCAATATTCATATCGTTATATACACAAATATAGAGATTAAAAATGGATAGAATTGCGGAAAAATGGTCACATTTCCACTACATTTCTCAATTAACTAAAAGTTATGAAAGGGTTAATTAGCCAAGATGATTTTTGATTCTAATTCAAAGTTCAAATAGATATATTTAAAACTCCATAAGAATTCCATCATATTATAGATTTGTAATTTGGCAATGTCAATAGATGTGAAAGAATACTATGTCATTTATATATTCTTCAATGAGTTCTTAGAACAGATAAAAAATACGCATGTTTTTTGCCAATATCTTAAATAAGCTTATTAAACATTAATATGTCGGATATTTACCGCTAGTTAAAAAAAAAATTTTTCAATTCCACAAGTCATTTAATTTAATTTACGACGCCAAAAACCACCATTTAATGCGCGGAATTTGTTTGCTAGCACAGCCGGGAATTGACCAATTATCACCAAGGAAATGAGGAAATCACCAACCCTAAAGAAGGAAACGGGTTTGTATGATTATCACGTGATATGTGCGACTTATAAACGAAACGAAGCAAGGTTTATCGTTATCTGTCCATTGTCGAAATGTCGCAACAAATTGAGGCGCGGCAACGCTCGTACGTGCATTATTATTGTCACTGTCCTGACGTGTCCAAGTCTACTACTACGGAAGAAGAAGAAGAGGAAGACATTGTAGAGTCTATTCCTGATCTTGACATTAATTCTCCTCGCATTCATTTTTCCACTTTTCCTATATCAAAACTATACTTTTGTGATGATTGCTATCAAATACGTTGCCCGAGATGTGTACAAGAGGAAATAGTTTGTTACTACTGCCCAAACTGTTTGTTTGAAGTGCCAACTGCTAGTGTCAAAAGCGAAAGAAATAGGTAAAATTATTACTTTTTTTTTTTTAGCCGGGGCTTAAAGATAATGAGAAGTAACGATCTTTAAAAACTTCAGAATTTGATAAATTTTATATGAATTTACTAAAAAACATGTAATACTATCAGATGCGCGCGAAATTGCTTTCAGTGTCCTATATGTCAAAATACACTTTCGGTTGTAGCTTCTACTGAACCCCCACCTCCGCAAACCTCTCACCCTTCTAACCCCTCCTCTGCAGCGGCAAGTGGTGCTCCTTATTATCTTTCATGTGGTGTTTGTCGTTGGGACTCTCAAGAAATAGGGATGACATTTGAAAAGGCAACTGGATTAGCATGTAATTATTTGATTTATCAATTTTTTTAATTTTAGGAAATTTACGATTTTAATATATTTTTATTCAACTGATATTAGTACAACTTCAAAAAACTGAGGACGAAAGACCTGATGTGAAAGAATTTGATCATCTTAAAGATCATTTTGAGAAGCATTTACGTCTCAGTGCTCCATCTACTACACTTCCAACTTCATTATTGTCGATTCCAGGCATAAGCAGTTTCAGCAATCGATATGGTGGTAGTGGATTAGCTCACCCACAACAAAAGTCTGATGATGTTGCAAAATATGATGCCATTGTAAAAGTTGATAATGATGATAGTTTGGTTCATGATTTAGTTCAATTGAAAGATGTCAATCAGAGTATGTGTTAATTATTAAATTATATGCTTTTCATGGTCATTAAACTAGTAATCTCAACTTTCTTCTATGTTAATAGTTACCACATTGACACAGAGAATGAATCAGCTTAGTGACCAACCATACAAAGTGGAGTGAGTGTATAAATAACTTGAACATATATATATATATATTTATTTTTGGGTTCGTTCATTAATGATTATTGACCATATGACAGGCGTCTTCAACCTCAACGTATACATCTTCGAACAAAACGCGTAAAACGATGTCGTTCGTGTCGTCATATTCTTATCAAACCTGAACAAAAAGCTCAAGCCACCAGATTTAAAATTAAACTTGTTGCCCTGTATGTCTTATTTATTTTTATTTAAATTAATTGATTTTATTAATTAATTAATTTATTTATTTACATCAAAATTTGTCTAATTATTCAATACAGAAATAGTATTCCAAAAATTACTATAACAAGTTTGCCAAAACTTATTCTCAACCAACAAACAAAAATCATACTAAAGTTTTCTAACCCTTTATATGAAGAAATCATAGTTGATTTGGCTTTAAAAGATGAAACCACTGAATATGCCAAGGTTTATTTGCATTTTTTTTACATTTTAAGTCGTAATTTAGTTGTTACAATATTTGTAATCATTTTGTAATCATTTTGTTACCATAGATTACATTACTTGCCCCACATTTCAACATAACTCCTTACAATGAAGTTTGGGAATATGAACAAGACTTCATTACTTCAAAAGGTCGTCCACTTTCAATTACAAGTGCACCAAAAGTTGATGCTGGTATTTACGAAAGGCGTGGTAATTATACTAGTGTTGTAATTGAAATAACGCCATTGGCTGAAATCGACGAACTTAAGGTTTACAAAATTTATTATTTCATAGCCTTTATTTTTTTTTATGTGTTTCGCATTTATTTACATTTTATTCATATTTATATTTTATAGTTTCCTCTTAAGGTAACTTATGTAAGCAAAATTAACGATAGTAATGATAATGAAACTTCCGGGACTTCTGGAGATGCACCAGCTGGCGACTCATCAACTACTACTGAGACAGCGCCATCTGATAAACAGAATACTGATAAGGATGATTCTACTTCATCTACATCAACTACAAAAAGTTTGTCTTTTTGGACCGTTATTGGATTGGGACCTGTGGTAAATCAAGCTACAGTAGGGTCACGACCCAAACCCTAAGTTTAGGTTTGGGAATCGGATTTCTGGATAATAACCAAAACCAAAAAATATGGCCCATTTTTCAATTCAATCATATCAAACAAATTTACTAAATAAATACTATAATTTATTAACATTTCATTTTCATTTTCAATTTAAAAACCTAAGAGTGATTGAACAACTAAGTAGGATTTTTAAATGAATTGATATTCTAGATCCAATGATTATATCAGAAATTTATACAATAAATGAAAAATAATTTAATAAAGGTGAAAGCTTTTCACATCTGAATAAACTTCTCGACTAAGTTTCCTTCAAACTTTAAGAAGTGCCTAACCGATTTTAGAAAAGCAAAAACCCTTAATTTAAAATTGATTCCTTATCAGTACCTGTTATGTAATTTACCATTGTTAATTGCTATGAATTGATCATGACCGTCTCAAATCATGTTCAGAAAGCTATCGAGATTCATCTGAAGAATATTCTTGTATTCTTCATAAATTAACACAGAATTTTACACTGCCCGCCGTAAGTAACCGACACTGACTAACTTTTTGTAGAAGATTTGAGGCGCCTTGAAATTTTGCATACCAAAAGGACATCATTAACATTGATCATCCATACTTTCTATGCGGTAAAACCTCCGCGTTGTATACCTATTATAAAAAATTGCTAGATACATCGCTCAATATTTAAGGACTCTTTTAATTCTACGGTCTCATAGAATTCAAAAGAGCCCTTAAACATTAATATCGATATTGACTATACTAATATTAAAATATTATAACTAAAAATCTAATAAAAATATTTTGACAATTACATAATTAATTTTAATGTTCAAAAAACTCTTTCTAATAATCACTTGAATCAAATTTTTACCAAAAGCAAGCTGAAAATTCAAGGCCTTTAGTAGAAGTTAATTTTGGTTTTATTTTTTTAGAAGCAAAAATTGTTGTTAATAAAGCTTACAAGAAATAAAATGTTTAATAAGTAGGTTTATTTTGTAGTGGTTTGTATTGGGATCAAACCTTGAATTTTAGGTAGACTTTTTAATATGTTTAGCATTCAAGTTGAAAAAAAGTTCTAATAACAAAAATAAAGATTTTGTTAAAAATATATAAAAGCTAGAAAAATTAAATAAATGATTTGAAAATATGTTTATTAGACTTGGTTTCTTATAATATTTTTTTTTGATTGTTTTTGTTTTTTTTTAATGTTAAAGTTAGGTCACGCCTCTGGTTTTTATTAACATATACTTATTTCAACAAGTCCTTTACTTATACGTTAATTTAGAACTACAGAAACTTAGACTAATTTATCTATAACCTAAACCTACTAGAGTAGTCTATGCCTCATATATGTATTATCTAGCTTTACACTTCCCAACTAGCTATTTCTAGTAATTACTATATTTTTCCACATTTCACACCACTAGTATAACTTTCAATTTGGTACATTAAGTTCTACTTCTAATAAGCTTCCAATTTGGTAAATTTGCAAACATAGTTTATTACAAGTTTTTTTTATAAAACTTTTATTAGTATAACTGTAGTTAATGCAGATAGTCTTTCTATAGTCTGTATCTTAAGCCAGAGACTTGCGGTCTAGTTAGATTCACTACATGACAGAGTTGGTATTAAATTAACAAAGTAGGGTTTATCTTGGGTTTGCACTAATTAGAATTATACTGGTTTGTATTTTTTATTGTTATAAATACCTAACTCTTCTACTTATTTATCTAGGTACTACTAACCTGTATCTCAAGCTAAGTTTCTGCTACTACTACTATTTTGCCTATTTCAAAACTTAATATTCCTTTTTTAATATAGTAGTATTAATTAACTCATTTGAATTTCCTTATATAATATATTACCAAAACCTTATTTTATAATACTGTTTTAATAATTTATTTTGTTAAAAATTAGTCTAACACCATGAAATTCTTTAAGTAGCAAGCAGTTCTATTTCTAACTATAGGTTTTGTTTCACATTTTTGAAGAAAACCTTAATTTACCTTGACTTCAACTTAGATTCCTATTATTAATTGGTATTGTATTATCAGTTTTGTATACCAATTTTGAATATTTAAGCAATCAAATTCAGACATAGTAATAATCAAATTTGTACATTTTAACAATCAAATTTGAATAGCAATATCTTATTATCTAGTAATTAGAATTGTATAATTTTGGTATCATTTAACTTATTAGGACTAGATGAGTTAAATGGTGTTAAATTTTTATTATTTTGATTACTAAATAATAAAATATTGTTATTTAAATTTGATTATTAAAATGTATGAATTTAATTGCTATTATGTCTAAATTTGATTGCAACTATGTTCAAATTTGATTGCTACTATATTAAATTTGATTGCTTAGATGTTTAAATTTGATTGCTCAAATATTCAAATTTGATTGTTCAGATGTTCCAAATTAGTACACAAAACTAATATTGTTGATATATTCTGGCTTCTTTTGTTATAAACTTTTATATAAATATTGTAATATGTGGTTTTATCAAAAAATCTCTATATTCAAAATCTTGAAAACTATAATCCCTACATAACGATTAATATTTAATAATTAGTAAACACATTAACTATTATTGTCAGACATTAAATTTTTATTTGTCATATCTCATAATATCAGTATTATAGCCTGTTGAAATTTTGGATATCAGAATTTTTTGATAAAACTATAATATGCTTGCTTGGCTTAACTATATTTTAATAATAAAATATATTATTGCCAATTAAGTCAAATAAATATATTATTTGACTTAACATATAAGAGTAGTTAAGAAATATTTAAACAAGAAAAAGCCTAAATTAAAACAAAAATAATTAAATAAGAAATAAAAATAACAAAGTTTACTCAAGTATAAATTAAAAATATTATAATATTATAATAAAAATATAATAATAATACTATAAAAACACAACTCTCTCTAATGATTACTCATACCAAACTTACAGCTAATGAAAACAGAAACTTATTAAAGAAAAGTAGAAGAGACAACTATACAATAATAGTTTTTATAGAAGTTAAGACTTTTGCATTTTACTCTAGACTCCTCTATATATTCAGCATGCAAATTAAAAGCATTTTTGTACAAGATAACTGGCAAGAAGATGATACCTTTGTACAAAAAATTTTAATAGAAGCACTGCTTCTGTTGATGAAGTTAAATAATAGTTGGTCTAAAAGAAAACAACAAGTAAGTTTTTAATAAACTCTTTATCGAAATTTAAGGATATTTGCAAACCAAAATCTTCTACCAAACTTCACTTTTTGCACTTTACGAAATTTTCACAAAAAGTGAAAAAAACAGCATATCTCTAACAAAAAATTGATACAATAACAGCTGCTGAAAAAAGAAAGACACATATATATATATGTGTCTACTTTGAGATGAATAGTGTTAGATAATGTGATAACATTTAAAATACTGTGAAAAATCTGCTGATCTAGTTGGAATAGCAACTGAAAGTTTCAATCTTGAAGCTTTACTTCAAGACTAAATAGTTTTTAATATTTTTACATCCTGGATATAGACATAAATAACTAATGTAGAGTTTAGTCTAGTTTATTTGTAATACTATATAATTTTTATAATTTAGCATAGGTTTAATAGTGCTATCTTTGTTTTCTTTTCTTTTGTTTTCTTTTTTTTATTATTTGTTTTATTTGGTTTGCTCTTTGTATTTGTGTTTATACTTCATTTTAAAAAAAAGAAAGTTAATTTAGATATGATGTGTAGCACCAGCCTATGACTAAAGAATAACCTCTAGTAAATTAAAAGCTCAGAGAAAGGTTTGAAGTCTGCTGAGGCAAGTCATATTTGGCAAAAGTGTGGGTAAGCTACTTTACAGATAGATTAGTATAGTTACTATTAGAGAATATAAATTTCTTAGTATAGTTTAATCTGCAAATAAAAATTGCAGAATTGCTGAATTATTAAAAAAAATAACATTATAAAAACACAAGATAATAACAGTTTATTACTAAAAAAATATAAAATAATAATAGAAATAACAAAAATCAGGTGATTTTTTAGAGTGAAAAAGGTATAAAAAATTTAAAATTATATTAAGATTGGATTAAAATATATATTAAAAGAAGAAAAAGAGTAGGCTTCTAATAAAAAAATTAGACAATAAATGATATTGCTCTAAGGCTTTATCACAAAAAAATAATCAAAGAAAAGAGTTAAATATATTTAAAAATGATGTAAATAATTAAAGAATAAAGTGTGAAGCATATATTAATATCTCTTTATTTTGAAAAAAAGTAGGTTTAAATATCTTTTGATGATACTATAATTCTAAATAATAATACTATATAATAACAAAATGAGATAAGCTATAAAATAATATGGGCGTTAGTTTATGGCGATGGGTTGCCATAGCGACCCTATATGCTTGACCAATCAAAATTGAGCACGTGACTAGCCTATAGGTTGCTTACTATTGGCCAACTAAAATTTTTTAAAAATTTTCTAAATTTTATAATAAAAAATAAAAAATAAAATTTACTAACCTTAAATTTGATTGGCTGCTATATATAGGGTTGCCATGGCGACAGATCTCTATAAAAAATTTAACAAATAATATAATAGTAATATAATAGTATTATAAATTATTGTAATAATGCTATATACTAATATTTAAATTATTATAATATAATTAGAATTCTAAACTGGTTTAAAAATCTCTATTTGTAACCCACTAAATTAATTATTTTTTCAGCCAGATATCCAAAACTAAAACTGACTATCTAATTAAAGCATGTCACTTAGTTATTGTTACAAGTAGACTGTAGTCTTCTTAATACAGCACAAATAACAAAACACACGGCTATAGAGCTTCGTTGTGAGATTATAGCAGTGTGGAAGTGAAATGTTACTTCACTGAGAGCAGTTCGTGAAAAGTATATAGTTAAAGAAAGATATATTTTATTTACGGTATATAAGACTTTAATTACAAAAAAGAATCTTATAACCAAAGAGGGTTTCTGTAT